CCAGTGGATATTTTTTGAATTTTTACGGAATGACTATGACCTGGATGACTGAGAACCTTCATCAGCATATTCCCCAAAATCCTTCTCTATATCTTTAAACCTTCGATCTTACCGGCGCACATGTTCCACCATCTCTGTAGGGACTGAGAACATCTTTGTAGGAGTGCGCTTGGTGACCTTCTGTTCCCGCACCATCTGCTGGATGGCGTGTATGATCTGCTGGGTATGTTTAACTCCAACCTTCACTGCATGGCAGAAGTCTTGCTGCAGCACATTCTCAGCAGACGCCTCGATCATCACTAGTAGGAGCAGAAACAAAAGCTGAGCATCTTACAAAGAGGGAAGAAGGGCCGATTATGAAAGAAAGTCTGACAGGAACAACTGAAGGACCTTCAGAAATTTGAAGGAATATGCCAGATTGTGATTTTAATTTCAGCTTTTGACTGAAATTTGAGCAACATTAGATTCACTGTAGCAAGATAAAAAAAAAACTAAAAGGCAGAATATCCAGAAATATTGCTGGTTTACAGTAGCTGCCTGACAAAGTTCTTACTCAAATTTAAACATTCCTGTTTCTTTCAGCTTGAATGGAGCAGGACTTAGGATTTACAAAACTACTAAACACAATCAGCACAAACTGAACTCTAAGTTAAATGTCCTCAGCAATACCTCAAATAAACAGATCTGATCAAATCTAGACTGACTTCTGAGCTCATTTCACCAGATTGTGCCTAAAATAACAGAAGTTTGACAATTTTAAAAAATCTTATTCATTTGAATATTTTTTCAACAAAACAGCATTTAAACTGACCAATTTCAACTCACCCACTTGACTGCTGGGAGCTCCGGCCACAACCAGGTTAAGACTGCTTGATGCCATCTCTGCCCTGGTGGGGTTAACCAGTAACTCTCCATTAACCATTCCCACTCTAACAGCACCTGTAATCCAGGGTTATCATAGTTATCTATTACCAAAAAGAAATTGAGAAAACATAATAAAGTGAAATAAATAAAAACGGTAACTAAAAGGTGAAAAATATTACTAACTGAAACTGATATATACCCTCATTATTTATAGGCTTTAGAAACCGATATAATCTGTTGGTTTTTATTACTTATACAAATAATTACATGAGCACGAAAATGAAAGCCAGAAAAAACTAGCTGTAGACCTAATGAGAACTACACTAAAACCAAATTAAAATAATAATAACTAAAAATAACTGATAAAAACTAGCAAAACCACCCTAAAAATTTATTTAAATAAAGTTAATTATTGGGAAAAAATGGTCACAATAAAACTTAACTAGAATCAAAAAAGCAAAGCTATTATAGCCTTTCTGTATAAATGACAACCAGTCCCAATGTGAGCAGGGCTGCACTTAGAGGACTGCAATATAAAAGCAAAGAAATTCAACTGAAAATCTGAATGGAGCAGAAACAGCTGCAGGTTTCCTCACCTATGGGTCCATGCCAGGGGATGTCAGACAGAGCCAGGGCAGCAGAGGCTTTCAACAAAGGAATTTGGGTATTAGAAAGATTTTAAACGTAATATTTGAAAACAATGGATTTTACAAGATTCTTTTTTTTTACCTGCATTAATTGCAAGCACATCTGGATCATTGACGCCATCAACTGCAAGCAGGTTACAAAGGACCTTTAAAAGATATGAAAAGGATCAGGAATATTGTCATTTCTGGAAAACTGGTGCAAACCTTTAAAGGAATTATGTTAAATCAGGATCAAACTGAACTTACCTGAGTGTCATAAAAGTATCCAGCAGGAAAAAGTGGTCTGATCGAGCGATCTGAACGATAAAGAGTCGGTTAACGACATGTACATCAGTATCAATACATAATAAAGCTTTAGATAAAGCTCACCAATGAGTCTGCTGGTGAGGATCTCATTGTCTGTGGTGCCAAGCTCTCGTCTCAGATAGTTGGTGGGGATTCGACCTGCAGCAGCTGCTTTCTGTCTGTAGTCCACCTTTAAAACATAGAAATTACTGAGCAGCACAAATCCAGAACTAGATCCACCTTAACTCACATACAGGTCGACGTAACAGAACAGCAGCATTTCTGAGAATGAGCTCGATTAGCTCAAAGCGTTCAAATTTTTATGACAAACACAGGGTAAGGAACTTACAACAAGTGGCATGAACTGAGATGGTGAAGGTTTGGTTTTGCTGACAGCAGTCACCATCACAGAGGTTTCTCCCAGCTGAAGGTAAGAGGAAAAATACAGGAAAAGGTAGCATCAACACCCTCCATTAACAGCAGCCTTCTTGGATTCCATATTTAACAAAAATCATTTTAGAAAACAACATCTTGTTATGCTTGCGTTGTTACAAAACTCTCTTCGATTATTAACTGCAGAAGGAAAATGTAACACTGAAAGTCTAAACATGGACAACCAATCTCATTTTATCTAAAGTTTCTAAACAATTTTTAAAAGATTTTCCAGTAACAAAAATGAGAACTTAAAGAACAAAAACATCACATTCACGTATTATCCTCCATAAATATCTAAAAACATGATCAGTGGGTTTTTAGTCCTGCTTCATTGATCTTAGCTGCTTTTAAAGGAGGCTTTAGTATTAGATGAATAAAACAAAAAGCCTTAAACATTCAAAGCAGTTAACAATACAGAATCTCGCATATATATTTATGCCTCTTCAACATTTCCACACTCCACCCACAAATTAGGAGAAACAGCAGGCTGATTTTATAGCCATGAAGATAACAAATCAGGAGCAACACCTTTTTTGGGCAACTGAATTTCATAGTTATTAGATATAACTACTTTAAAATACTGTTTGTTTTTTGTTTTTTTATATCTCTTGAACATCGGTTCCAAGAGGTATATTGACAAAAAAGGATACACAAAAAATCCTGTTGGCTTCATGCATGTTGTTAAAAAGTAACATTGAATGACTGTACTTACTTAAGATAGAAACTGTCATATAAATAGTATGTATATATTGCGGAATTTTGTTGAAAGAAAGACGAGGAGAGGTTCTACAAACAATGTTTATTATAGATCATGAACTGTCATTGTGAATTGTTACACATATAAAGTAAAACTTGCTTGATAAACAGATAGATAGATAGATCTTTGGCCTAAGATTTAAGATAGGAAAAGAGGTGACCACAGAAGACTACTGGTTGCATTTGGAGAACCAGGTCTGTTTTGATTTGGTCCTGTGTTATGGAACATTATCTACTCCTTGGCATGCCTAATGATGACCTGCTTTGACTGCTGGTGATCAGTTTAATGAGGTTTCATATATTTCCAAGGTTTCAGTCATCTTTGGAAGAGAAACAGGCCAACAGCATTACAGTTCCACCATCAAAATCAACAGAAATGAGGTGATTTTCTTCTAGTTCTTTCAAGCCTAACCCACCTCAGATGTTCACTTAAAAAAAAAAAATCATCATGGTCTCAGATCCAGTACTGTTTAATAAATTCATATTTATGATCATGACTTAGACAGATTTTATTTTGTCATTTTGTACACACAAGTGTAAACTAACGAAAATTTAGTTAAGAACAGCTCTCTAGACTATTTTATTTTTTTAAGTGCAGCCTAGATAAAGGTGAGCAGCAGTGATAAAAACAAAAAACATTTTGATGAAAAAAACAGTAATGTAAACATATCATTGTATGGTTACAGTTCTAACATTCATTTTTATTATGGTGGTAGGAGTTAAAAAAGGCAACTATTTCCAAACTGGGGGTTTATTTAACCCATTAAATTAATTAAACTTAACTATAGGTTGTGTTCACATATAAAACCATCTCAATGTGAGATTATTCTCATATATTAAAAGATTCACTGACCCAATAAAAAGAAAAAAAATGTGCATGAAGATGAAAACATGGGAAAAATTCAGGATTTTCTTTCCTACCTGCACTACAGCAGATCCATCAGCAAATCTGGCCAACAGCCCAGAAGAGATTTCAAGTCTCCTGCAAAATCAAAAGCAGAAAAAGTCCCTTAATCACAGCTTCACCTCATCTATCCTGAACGAACCGCGATTTCAGAGTCATATGGAGCTTGGTTCTAGCAAATAGAGAGAGAAAAAGAGTGAAAGTCAACTCACTTCTCTCCAAGGTCCACTCCCACTCTCCGTGGGTTGGAGTGTCTGCTATAAATGCTCTGGTGACATGAGCGGACATGGAGGCGGACGGACGAGCGGCAGAGTCCGAGGAGATACCTCATGTTTACAGAAACTTAAGGAGGCAGAAATGTTTAGGAAGACAGACAGAGGGAGCTACACTTTACAGCTAGGAGCTGCCATGACAGTTGGTCACATGTACGAAACTACGTAACGAAACCGTCGCTTCTGATTGGTTGGGAAGAACAGATTGTGTAACATCAAAATGTAGTCGGGTCAGATGGTTCCGGCGTGCATGTAAATAAGGTATAAAGTTTTTTTTTTTTTTTTTTTTTAAAAGAAAAGAAAAAAGAAACAAACATGCAAAACCATTTCTTTTAAAACGTTGATATCAGGAATGCATCAAAATCATGACTACCATTTTCGGGAGTCATTCTTCAAAAAAGTGGTGATAACATTACTCAATTAACAGTTATTTTAGTCAATGAACTTCAATTTCAAAAGTTGTCTATCTGGAGTTAAACACTTAATATTATTGCAATAAAATATATATTAATTTAAATTATAAAGGACCACTTAAAAAGAAACAAAAGAAAAAGTTTTCATTAAATGTTGGTCTCTATTTTAAAGCCAAGTGACTGAGACCATAAAATAAAACAAGTCAACCCAACAGTTTGTGAGGCTTCCAAATCTAGATCCCCTGGACCATCAGTTTATAATCTAGAATTAGATGCCTATTTTTTTCCATTAAGCTATGAAAGAGTTGTTATCATATAAAAATAGTAACTGTGCTTTTAATTTAATATACATATGAGTTCAAGCTGTAACTAACAGTGTTAGTATAAAATGTTAAATATTTTAGACAAAGTTGTTTACTTGACTTTCCGGTTAGGGGACATTCAAATATGACCCCAAGCTCAATAAAATGTTAAAAACCAACTAAATAAATCCCTGCTCACTCTTTTAGCCAGTATTAAGAAGCAATAAACATATGTATGGCTTATGTGAGGAAAAAAGTGTTGTTGCTGGATCATTATATACCCTCTTTATGACAGCATATTTAAAATAAATACATTTTAAAAACTACTCATTAAACATAAATTCTAATATGTGAGGAAAGAAAAAATATAAGGCAATATCAGACGTGTGCATCAGTTTGGCCCCTTCTTGGTATATTTTGTACACTTGTAAAAGTTGTGTTAGTTGCAACAACCCTTTAAAAATATTTTATTAGGCAGATTCCAACAGAAAATAGTGGTTTGTCTAAAGTCTCCAACAGTATTTCTATTACTGGATCATTCCTTTCATTTCAGTCATATATGAAAAAGTCACAATACTTTCAATCTATACTAATTAACACTATTGTGATATAAAACATTTTTTTCTTTCGTTATTTAAAAACATTAACTAATGTAATTGAATAGAAGTTCACAGGAAATAAAGGTAGAATAATTAGTGGCAAACCAAATTAGTTAAAAGTACACTATTTACACAATAGATATAATTTAAAAAGAGCTCACAATGTAAAGCTGAACAAGTTCTGAATGCTCTAAATGTTTGTGGAAATCAATTGCCTTAAAGTTTTTTGGTAAGTTAGAATATTAAAGTTTGAAATACCGGATTTGATGTAAAGGTTTAGAGTATTCTGAACTATATGGGTTTACACAGTGCATTTCCCTGAACATATTTTGGTACTTGAATTTAACTTGCTCAAATCTGATTCTGCCCCNCCCTGAACATATTTTGGTACTTGAATTTAACTTGCTCAAATCTGATTCTGCCCCGCTGCAATCCTTCATGGTCATTTGCAAAAATAAAGTTCTGGTTTCGTTAATCTATCAGTTCTATGTATGTTTTATTGGAACCTAGGATATCAAATACTATCAGATAAGCTTACCGGTATTTATAAAGTTCTTAACCAATGTTGTTTATATGTGTGTAGTCAAGTAAATTTTATTATTACGTGATTAAGTGGACTGCCACTTAAAATTGTGCTTTCGATTTTCCAATTATCTCTTATTTTTAAGCATGTATGTAGTGACAGTGGAGATAAAACCTCCACTTTAACAGGACGAAAACTCCAGCAAAATCAGGCCCAGTGTGAACATCCATCTGCAACAGGATGAACTGTGGTTTAAGCAGACAGAACAACCACACAAAAAGAACACAGAAGCCCTGATCTAGGAGTACTTTGAAAATAGTAAAAAGTTGATATCAATAGTGCTTTCATTAAAGGATTTATCTAGATGACAACATAGTTGTCATCTAAATAAATCAGTGTGCACCAGGCCAAACACAATTACCAAGAAGAGAGTAAAAACACCAACAGAAATAGAACATAGTTTATAAAAAAAAAAAAAAAGAACATAGTTTATAAAAAAAAAAAAAAAAGTTTGTTCAGTTGTTGTAAGTAAAAACATTTGCACTGATTAAAATAACTTTAACTAGAACTAAAAAACAGAGGTTGCACCAGTCTTAACTTTTTAAAAGGCAATCTACTTTCTAGTCTTTTATAATTTTCCTCTGGTGGGGAAAAGGTGCAATACAACATGTGACCGCTAGATGCCAGGCTTGTAAACATAACGCTATTGCACTGCCAATAAATCGTTTTAGATCTCTCACCAATACAGATAGACTGCTCATGTATTAGTTTATCTATGTAGCTATTTATTTACTTTTTTTCTGTGAATATTCTACTGATATAGTTTTAAATCTTCAGAGATCCCTCTCCTGATACTGATTCGTCATGCAGATTTTCACTTTTTAATTTCTAAACAGATGAAGATTGTACTTGAAAGCACAACAAAATGTAAACATTGACTTTTCTCAAAAAGTATGAAAGTATTTCCTTTATACATTTATGTTAGATTGAGATGCTGCTTAATTGATTAATTGTTCTTAGTTCATTAGTCATTTTAGTGAGCTAGCTTTCAGCTCATCCAGCACTAAGTTATCTTACCAGCAGTAAGCCTTCAGTCAGTCAGTAAGCAAGCCTCACTAGCAGTGGGAGCACTCTAGGTTGTTATGGCAACAGATGAGTGCTAACAGCATCTCTGGTGCTTGGTGGATTACTTACAGGCATGGAAACATGCACACACAAGCACAGACACATGAAAACAGCAGCTAATTGCTGGGGAACATAGAGGGGTGCACACAAGTGGCTCAAACAGCCTCACATTCCCATCATTACCTGAGGCTTCAACTATAGAAACACATCAGCCTATTATCTTCTTTGAGGGCTTAGGGGGATACTGACATAGCATTTGCATCACCTAAAGCAGATCAAAACAATGCTAAGGACCAATCAATATTCATTGAGGCTATAAAACAAGCCTTTCCCTGATTTATAACAATAGACTCTCAGTGGAACTGAGGCTGAACTAAACTTCAGATTATTTGAATCTTTGCTGTAAAGATACAAACCTGAAATAGAATATGGTGGATTAATGGTAGTTTAGGAGGTTTCCATCGTCTGCATGCTTCCATCCCTTCAATACTCAGAGGATTTCCATGAATTTGATGTTTTCATACTGCAGTATTGAGCAAGCTGTATGCACATGGAGATTCTATTCACTACAAGCTTCCAGTGAGCAGATGGAATTGTGCAGAATTGTAATGCATTCTGGTCATGACTCATCAAGTTTTCATCCATTATTCTGAGAGGATCTCCCCCTGAGGCTAGGGTTTATTATCAGTGATGCTAAATTGCTTGCTCATATCAAAGTATTTTCTGTAGAAAGAATATTGTATTGTTCTCCTCTCATAATGACAACCCTGTGAAGGATCTAACTGATATGCAAGGACCCTGATAGAAGCTGGATAGACAGCTCTTGGCAGCCTGAACTGGTGTGACATGAATTTCTTTGTCAGAAGCGTAATAATTACATTAGGGTAGATGGCAAACTTCCACCTGATTCTCTTCTCAGAAGAAGATTAAATGACTGAACTATGGAAGAATTCTTAGCAAAAATACGATCTACTCACCTCCTAACATGAAAAAACACTGACATTTTAAATTCAAGATTTTTACCTTTGCAGTAAGCTGTGTAAAAAGTATTAAAATTATAAATCTCCATGACTTTAAAAAAAATGTTCATCTTGCAAATTTTTTGTTTTTGTTTTTGCTTTTCTGCTACAGTCAGTTTCAAGATAGAAAAGATGGGAATAAACCACAGATTTTTATAGATTTTTAAAATAGTTTTGATAGCAATGTTGAATTTTGTCAACAATCGGAATAAAATAATTACCCTTCAAATGTGGCATTTTTCATTTAAAGGAATCAAGGTTGATTTATGTAATGTACTGAAGTTGTTTCCTTTTGTTTACCTCTGGAAAAGGTAATTTAGGTAATTTATTGTAAACGATATAGGAGCACAGCAAGAAGCTATTGAGCAAAGAGATGAATTGCAAGCATTTGAAAAGAAGAATCTTTATGTTAGGAGCTATTTCTAAATGTCATATCATAGTTGGAATCTGTCCCTTCTTAAGTGTTTTCATGTTCATTACCATTCATTGTTATAGAGTCTCAGCCTTTCATCTTGCATGGATTCTCCAAGAGCTAATGTCTCTTGACAGCACAACAGTGAGTCCCCTCATAGCAAACACTCATGTCACACCTATTCATTATTTAGTAACTGAGTTTACTCTGTGAGGATCCATGAGGATCTCCCTTGGCGGTAGGGATTTCATAAACATACATCATACATTCATAAACAAACATATATTCATGCCATTATATACATTATACATTATTTAATTAAAATCCTAGATTTATTTTTATATATATACAATATAATATACAATACAATATAACAATTGTCGTGATTCATATTTACCATGAGTTGAATTAGACAAACATTTAAATTTGTGCAAATGTATACCACACCTCTCCTTTATGCATACAGCTGAGAACAGTATCACTATATGTAATAGAGAAATATTTTGGTTAAGATAATATATTCAGTAAGTTTTCTACTGAGAATAACATGATTTTAGTTTGAATAGACAATGAGTAGAGAGAGCAGAGATCTACACAGTTGGAAACATGTAACTGCACACATCCAGCTGAGAGCTGCCTGGTTGTAAAATTCAAATCCTTAAAAAAAGGCATTGGAAGGATGTTTTTTCTAGTGCTAGCTCATTTTGTGTCATGGGTAAAAACCTTTCCTGTGAAGGACTGAAGTTGTAATAATAAAAAAGAAAAAATGAGTTAAAGTATTCCCTCAGTGCAGAGGTGTTTAAAGTACTCTCATGCTTTACCTTAGTAAAAGTAAAGATACCTGTGTAAAAAGACTGGTAATGTAACTGAAGTACAAAAGTAAGATAAAGTTTTTGCCTTAAATTATGCAAAAATTGTTTAAATAAAAAAAAAACTGTTTTATACACAAAATCATGATTATTTATTCTTTTTTGCTCACTGTGTCAATGGCGAGAACATAAAATAAAAAGCCTAACCATGAAGTTTAAGCTGTCTCATGAAGCACTGCACAAAACAAACCAAGAAATAATAGATATACAGTTATAAGCATGATTTTAGATTTATTGTAATAAACTTCATACTTTTTACTTTTCATCTGATGAATTTGTGGGATCTTTTAATAATGAATAGATTAGTTTATTTAGACCCAACTTTATTTTATTTATTATATTTTGGAGGTTCTTTTACATGCTTCGCCTTTTACATAACAAAACCAAAACGTGTGTTTAAAAAGATCATGTTTCAAAAAGCACAATAATTCTTTCGGCAGGCCCTATATTAAAGTTCCCTTCATGCTTAACTCTTAAACAGGAACTTACACTACACAGCCCATCTGTATTTATTTAGGATTTTATGTCGTAGAGGAACCTTGCTGTGGGTTAAATGTCACTTCAGTAAAATTTGAAAATTCCACACAGCATTAGACAGAACCACACTGCAGAACAAGCTCCAAATAAAAATGCTTGTGGTGACTTACAAATTCTTGTAAAATAACTACAGAGAATCTCAGCAGTGAGAGGAGGTGGTATTTGCTCTTAGTAAGCAATGCTGCTTTTGAAATAACCCTTTTAATGAACAAAACAACCTTTGATAGAGAAACATTTAGGCCCCTTGAGTCGTCATACTCCAAGGGAAGAGTGTGGTTTTCTATAAACTCAATGATTGATCAGATAAATGTTAAAGCTTACAAGAAAAACCCAGCAGTGCTCCAAATAAAATAAAACGTACAATAACAACACCCTGAACTTAAATTTATTCGCCTCCGCAGTGACAGAGCAGAAAATGACAGTGTTCTGGTTGCTGTGTGGGAAAGCTGCAGCGGTGAAAGGTTTTCATTAGGTGCGTCAGAGTTTAATTGTCTGCTGAGGTGATGGGGTTAGGAAGAGATGCGTGTGGCCTTTCTTAGAAAAGGGAACTGTTTGAAATAAAAATACTTCACATGCAGACATCTTGTTTTTCAAGTAAAACATACATCTGTGCATTTTATGAGAGAGTCAACAACACGATGCAAGCGAATGCCACATCAGCTGATTTCCTTAGAAAACTAATCTGTCTGTGTGATTTTATAACATAATATCTGTAAAGTGTCTTAAGATTATGCCGAGATAAATAAACTGAATTCAATTGGATCTCAATGAAAGATCCTCAACCTTTTCATTTATCTACGTTTTAACACATCTCAGCTCCAAATCTTAAGGTGCCTCATTGGGATTTTATGCCAGGGATTCATAAATTCATGGTTTAATTTTTCACTTCTAATAAGAGTTATTTTTTTAAGGATCTATAAAAAAAAAACTAAAGTTTAAAATGTGTCTTGTGTATTTGTATCCAACCACTTTACCCTAAAACCCCATATATATAAATAACTATGCAATGGGATTGCCATGAGAAGCTGGCAATTTAGAAAATTCTGAGCAAGTCAAGTTGAACTTTGTGGAGTTTATCATGCTGATTTAGTGCATTTCATACAAACAGGAGATGGATTTACTTGTGAGGTCAGAACAATCTGGATCTCAACACTTTAGAAAACGTTTATTTCTTTAAATGTAAATACTTTTTTAATGCGCACTTCCTCACCTTAAAGTCAAAATTTGAGGTATATACAATTTTGTAACCCATCCTTAAATAGATTTTTAGTTTTAGTTCTGCCTCAATGACTTCCTAAAACACTGTTACTTAGAACATATCTAAATCTCAAGCCATTATAAATGACTGCAAAAGCACAGATAGCAGTATCTGCCATAATGTATGCAACTGAGAGCTATCCTTTCGTAAAGGCTGCCTTTGAAAAGGGCTCAATTTTAGCTTTAATTCAAACTACACTGTAGCAAAACTCTTTATTTCCCAGGTTCCCAGATCAGCGATTGCCTTTTAAATTGGCTGTTTTACCATGTGACCTCTGTTCCCTTTTCACACAATCAGAGCCATTCATCAAGGAGGTGTCTGAAATCCCAAGACATTCATGCTGCTTTAACCTTCAGGCGCTGGGTGTGTGATACAACTCCCTGCTGCAGACTTTCTTTTAGCAATTAGGTTCAAAATTAATCTCCTTAATCCAATCAGAAACTGTTTCTTTTATTCATTGCAAGTGTTAAGATTTGCATGTTTGCTATTATGGATTGATAATTCAAAACATTTGTAATGGTAAACCACCATACATATTAAATTAGTTTTTCTTATAATGCATTTTAAGCAAGCAATATTTTGGAGAGAAAAACTACTCCATCCTTTTAATTTTGATTTAAATAATATTAATGAATTAGTATTAAGGTGAAGATGCTACTTTTTGTTAAAAGTACTGATTATTTATCATTTCTGCTTTAAGTGTTCCCTGTAACCAATTGATGTAAGCTTAACATGTTGCACATTTAAAATTATATCAAAGGCATAGAAAATTTAAACCATTGTTAAGGGGCCTCCAATAAATTAGTACATTTTAATAGAGGTATAGAAATATCATTTCATTTATTGAGAAATACAATGGTATCAACATGATTTAATGGTTTCAACACAGATCAATTAGAAAAATTTTAATTGTTATAAATGACTTAGAGATATAAAGGATGTGGAACCGTTTTTTGTAAAAGTGCAATGATAAGTTGTTTTTGTTTGACGGATGTGTTAACTGTGTTAACTGTGTTAATTGAATACTATAAGTTTAACCTAAGGTTGAGCTTGTGTCTACCGATGTATTTATATATATCCATCCATCCATTTTCTTTACATGCTTAATCCCAAGTGGGGTCGCGAGGGTTGCTGGTGCCTATCACCAGTTGTCTACGGGTGAGAGGCGGGGTACACCCTGGACAGGTCGCCAGTCCATCGCAGGGCAACACAGAGACAAACAGGATAAATTACCATTCACTCACACACTCCACTCACACCTAAGGAGAATTTAGAGAAGCCAATTAACCTAACAGTCATGTTTTTGAACTGTGGGAGGAAGCTGGAGTACCCGGAGAGAACCCAAGCATGCTTAGGGAGAACGTGCAAAATCCATGCAGAAAGACCCTGGGCTGGGAATCGAACCCAGAACCTTCTTGCTGCAAGGCAGCTATTAGTCTTTATTTAACTATATATATAAGCAAATAAAGACTAATAGGTTGTATGCAGATTAACAATAAAGTCATGGGACAGCCCTCTATATTTCACACACAGGAACATCAAAGACATAACATTCTAAGCAAATATAGTTCTCAAATTTTTCCCTATGGACCTGTTATTCCAGTTAAAGCCCCAGAAGCAAACAACAGATAAAATTTGTGCAAAAGCCATTTACACAAATTAACCTCTAATTGCAATAGTAACCAATTTACATTAAAAAAGGGTACATATTCAGTTGAATTCTGTCTGCTGTGTCATGAAACAGGATGAACACATTTCTGCCTGAGTTTAATGACACGTTTTTGCTCCTTTTGATAAAAATGGCTGAGATAAATTAGATTTAAACTTCTGAGAAGCAGAAAGTCACTTGCTCCAAATTAGTAGTTCCTATTATTTATCAGTATGTGTTAATGCAACTAAAGATGAAATCATCTTTATATATTTGGATCTGTCAGAGTCTGGGCGTCTTGTTCAGTTGTTCACCCACCAGGTGTCAGTATCATCGAGTCCTCACATATCTACCACATTGAATACAATTCATGCAAACAAAGGGGATCACCTTTTTTTTGTTTAGGAGAAATTAAATACCTAAATATGTGTTTGCTGCAGTGTTCATTTGAGGTGTTGATATATAATAAATATGGTTTTCATTAAAAAAAGAAACAAATGTAGGTTTATTTCCTTCACACACTTGCAATTAAAGCCTAATAAAATGACTTGCATGATAAAATGTTGACTAATAAGTATTTTTTTTTTTTTTTTTGTTGCAGCCATGACTCAGAGGAAATGTGAAAGGGAAGAGGATGCTTTGATCCATGTCCTAGTTTAGTAGGAGCAGGGAGGGCGGCGGGGATCAGGAGGCGGATCTTCTTGTCCTCCAGTCATCCTCAACTCCTCAGCTCACTCAGAGCTCAGCGTTTGAACAGAGACACACCGCAGAGGCTGTCTGGATACCGCTTTATTATTAAACACGAGAGGAACCCGACTATATGAACATGAGAACTTGAAACGTCTGGATTTTTCTCTTTTGCTTTTTTTTCCTTTATTTTTTTCCCCTCACTGCTGGATATTTTCCATTTAATGAACCATTTTCGGATTAAGAACCCGATTGACCTTACATCGCTGTATACCTTCAGTTTTTTATTTATTTATTTATTTATTTATGGGAGGAAAAAAATGTTGGAGAGGAAGCCAAGCCCCTTCTTTGGCATCTGACACAGCTGGGTCGCGTCGAGAAGATTGAGGATTAACATCTTTTTTTTTTTTTTCTTGAAGAAACCCCCCTTTCCCCGGGGTTGTTTGAACCCAATTTAAATCTAATCGTCAAAATGAGTGGAATATAAATAAAGGCATATTTCGCTCAGATTAGCCCTCAGCGTATCTGCGTAAAAGCGCATCAGGAGATGATGGAAAACGAGGTTTTCACTCCACTGATGGAGCAGTTCATGCTCACGCCTCTGGTCTGCTGGGTAAGGAGGACCTTACCTCCCCCTTTCAATTAAATATATATCAATCTGGATTATCTACTTACCCCCCCACACACACCTTTTCTTTTCTTACAGGTGAAGAGTGTTGGACAGTCTGCAGTATCCGATGGCAGCAAATTATCGGAATATATGGAGCTGGTGGATGGGATTTACCTGAACGAGCTCATGCTTGAGATGTAAGTGATTTGACAGGAAGGGAGACATTCCCATCTGTCCCTCCTCTTTGGCCTACATTGAGGGACAGAATTAGCCCGAATGAGGACATGCTCAACTAGATCTACTGTCGATCTACTTTCTGTGTGATTATTTACATTTTAGTGAATGGTTGAAATGACATTAACCCTTAGGGCCCCCCTTTTTTTAGTCGGGTTGAGGGGTCATCTCTTTGAGTCAATTAAACAACTGCAGCCTCTGTAGGTTTTTTAACTGAATGGGACAAAGGGACTCTGTTTTGGGTCAGAAAATCTTATTTCAAGGCTCCTTTTGAGCATTTCTGCAGCCATGTGTTGTTGAGTTGCACCAATTATCAACTCATATATCCATAACCTTTGTCTAACGGAGGGTGCATGGAAAAAATAATCTGTCCATTGATGCATTTGATTGGAAAATGGGTTTTGTTGCAGAAATTAAGCAAATCTGCAGACCATTTGGAGGCGTTAACCAGTACATTTGTTTTTGGTCCACTCTATAAAGCCTCAAACTCAATGCTATTTCTGATATTTTGAATTGAAAAAGCTTCCTGGATGGGAAGCGAAACGTCTTCAAACTTCCAGTCCAGTGCTTTGTCTTTTTTAACTTTTTTTGGAATGACTATGACTTAACTGATTGAGGATCTTCACCAGCATATAACAAGAAAATTTCTCCATAAGCATTGGGTCGCTTCTACCTTGTTTTATGCAGATTATTGTTTCACAACTTTCTAATGCCAGAATTGTTTTCTCCATTCTGCAGATGCTTAATAGATATTTAACTTTACCTACTAAATGATGAATTGTTGTGTTGGGTTGTAATACCAACTTTTGCTGTCAGTAGCTGTCTTGGTAGTCTGCAATGCTAGATTGCAAATCTTTATCTCATTTTAATAACCTGAGTTAAGTGCATTTTGTTGGCGCGTTTATGCAACATAAACTGTGGGATTACATGGGTTTGATGCATTTAATGAACAGGACATAAAAAGCATGTTTGGCCTGCCAATCTGATGAGAGCCGATAAAGGAGAAAGGAGCTTACTCAAATCTCTGGCCAATTGATTGTTGCGTCTGTAATCTTTGGTACATATATGTAGCATATTGCTCTCCTTTCAAATCTTTATTTTTTTTTTTAAATTTTTGTCTTCATTTTGTTTTTGTTATGTGCACCATATCCTCCATCAATTGGTGCTGATTAGAAGATACCTCCTTGAGTTGGCACCCCGCTGTGCGGTAGATTATTCTGCAAATATAGCCTAAAGCAAAATAATTACTTTTAGCTGCAAATAATTTCTTTTGCAATAAATGCTCACATTACAAAGGTTAACCTTAAAGTAAATTTGTTTTTATGCAATTAAAGACACAATAAAAAAATAAAAAACGTTTGTTTCTTGTTGCTGAGGGAACTATAGCATGTCAGATTCGTGTCGTTCCAGTCACTGAATAATGCATACTGCATGACAGGAGACTGATTTCCATTGTCTGGCTCCAGGCAGCTACATCTTCCTATTAAGAGTTTTCCGTATTCTTTAATATTTCCCACTAATGCCAGGCTTTACACTGTCAGCGTTTTATCCCGCTTGCATGTCTTAAGGAGCATTCAGCTACGGCTTCTCTCAGTCGAAGGGATTGTCACTTCACAGGAGAGGATTATGTGTGGCACATGCTGTGTCGCCTCACGTCAGCTCCACTCTTAGTCAGTTTGGCAATATTTAAAGCACAGAAAGATGATAACAGTTGTTTTTTTTAATAGAAAATAAGTAATTGATAAAAAGTAGATATATAGTGTTGATGTCAGATGAAGTATTTGAGTCAGTGGTGAAGAAGGGTTTGTGTTTTTTGCAGCTAGGATTCCTGCTCAGTTTTGGAATGTATTCCATTTGTTTTAACTGTTTCTGGGTTTTAAGGGTGGGAGAACTTTTTTTTTATTAAAGCTTTTATTCCTCATTCCATTATTTCAAAGTTCTATCCTTCCTTTTTTATACCATTATTCATCAGTGTGTAGTACATTGTGGCAAAGCTGCAAAAAAAGGAACAGAAATGTGAATGTTTTAGTCTAGAGAAGTGTGGAGCTGAAAGAAACGTTCCTGAACCCTGTTTTGCACAAAAAGCTGCTTAACCCTACTGGCTGTTTCCTGTCATTTGATGGCAGCTTCTCTCCTTCCTCAGTCCTTGACCTCCCACTGCTCCAGCGTTCAGTCTGCTTAGATGAATCCAGTTTAAACCACCTCTTCAAACACGTTCACCAGGACTAGTTTTCCTCCTTCGTTCTGCTTTGACTGGTTGAGCCATTTCAAAACTGAAACATGTTTAGAGAGGCTCTTTTTAGGTTTAGCTGGACGACTCCATGTTTTCTTGTTTACACATAACTGGTGCAAAAACAGAACAAGTCTGGTATTTTCAGCATTTTTCCCCTGTGGGACCAACGGATACTGGCAAGCGGAAGGGTTTTGGGGGGAGGGTTAGGGGGGGGAACAGAAACAAGGAAAAATTGGCCAAAATCTAAAGGATAGCTACCTTTCACACGATGAAAGCTGACAAAAGGAAATGCAGTAATTGAATTAGAAAATGTAAGCTCATAACAGCTCCTTAGTTCTATGTTTAATGGAAAAATATGTGACCTTGGTTTAAATTCTGTCAGCAAAAAATGTGCTGTGTGGGAATTTTAAATTTCCAGTGGACAGTTTAATGATCTTGCAGAGGGGAAAGCCTTTATTGAACTGAATAGGACTGTTACAGTGTCAGTTATTTCCTTACAGGATATCAGGGTTGCCATTCAGAGGCTTGCTTGGTTGCTGCGTTTCTCTAAGGCTTCTGTGTTTGTGTGGGAGTGTGTGTACATGTGGATGTTTTTTTTTTTTTTTTTTTTTCCATTCCCTGTGCATTTGGTTTTGGACTGAGGCAGCTGTTGGTAGTCGTCTAGCCCAGCCGCCCTCCCACACAAAGGGCTTCAGTACTTGTTAGAAGTTGTGTTGGTGAAACTGCATGCTCTTTGTCTGCTTCCCCACTTTCAGACTTTGTTAGTCTCCTTCAAAAACTCCAATTTGTCAGAAAAAGAAACTAAGTTCAATGCTTAATTTATAGATTCAAATTCCAGTTTCTGCTTTGAAAATGACAGAATATTCTGAATTTCTCTTCAAAGCCCTCATTTATGAAAGGTAATAGATATAAAGCCAAGAACAATGAAAGAAAAAAAAATCAGCCATTATAGATGTTTCCTGGTGTAGTCCATTATTCCAGTGTGTGTGTGTGTGTATTTATCATGGACGTGGTAGACCGGCTGGCAGCACTTGTCATCAGGACAGCATGGGAGAGCGTAGAGAGACCCCAAGATTATCTAACGGTTTGCTGACAGACACCCAGATGGCACCGGGTCCCCTCCCCTTGCCCTTGAGTGACTGACATCATCTAGCCAATTACATCGCCTCCATACTGATGTCATACCAATTAGCTGTGCTGCTCAGCAAGAAGGCGCCAATTAAAGTTAGTCAGAGATGCTGCATGTCTAAAATCAGTTTTCTTGGCAGTTCTGCAGACCAGTACTAACTGTTTGGACGTTCCAGTGAATCTTTCAGCCAGTCTTTTTCTGACTGTTGGGAAATAACTGAAAATAAAGTGAAGAAAATCCTTTTAATAGACATTTTTCTAAATGGTTACCATTTGTGATTTTAACTGAACATTTGTTTAGTGTTAGACCTGAACATGCTGTATAGTTTGTCTGGGTTTATTTACTTTCTGTTTTTCTGTAGGTCTGTACGTTTTCATAAATCTGCAAAGCAGAAACTGTTAAGTTCTTTACCAAAGTAAATCCAACAGGCCTGATCCTGAGCTGATGCTCACTAAAGATTTTTCCCTCAACCCATACCTTAGTAGAGCCATTGCTATTGGTAAATTTCTTAGTGATATTATGATTATATGCATCTCAGTGAACCTCCGATTTACAACCTGCCTTTCTGACGCCTCACCCTGATATGCATCATATAAACCAGCGCAGTCCTGATGAGGTATGAGTAAGATGCACCTCTCTGCCTCTCACAAGTTAACTGCTGCTTTTCTAGCCAAGGATGAAAATAAACTGAACTTTTGGTGGTATGTAGATTTGGTGAAGCTTTCGCTTGACTCAGATACATTATTTCCCTTTTCAGTTTGTACAGTCCTTTTATAGAGATTGGTTTAAATTCAGATGAGGTAAAATAGTTCAGTGAGAGTGAACTTAATAAGTCAGACTTTCTGCTGTTTTCCAGATGAGAATATTTGTTTTATCCGTTACTGTAATCTATGTCACTTTGATGTTTTCTTATCTTAATAGTTGGCTTCATGTTCTGTAAAGATAATGGGTAAGCAGGAACCCAGCAATTTGGATTCTAATGTTACAGTTTATTTCTATGAGGCTAATTTTATTAACTGTATACCCTTATTGCAAGTTTGTATAATCCAAAAATCCATCTTCCAAATGTGTGTTATCAAAGCGCTTGAAGGTTTTTAATGACTGACTGCTGAGCTCTTGTCTTTCTGTGCTGTATTACCCCCAAAACTTATTTAAGCTTTTGGTATATTTAGCTTCCCAAGCTGAATGTACTTTTGCTTTGGTTAAACGATAAAACAAATCAGTCATGGCTATGTACTATTAGTGCATGTATGCAGAATCAATAATGTCCGCTTTAAGATTGATTAAAAAACCGGGAATGCTTGCAAAATTGGTTTTAAATTCAGCTAATTGCAGAAAAATATACCACCCTAACCCACAGTTCCACGGAAGGTTTAATGAATGAAGGTTTAAATGGTCTTCCACAATCTATAAGAATTTTCTGATGTTTTAAATAGACTGTAGTGTTTTTCTTATTCTTGCCCACTGTGGTGAAAATATCCACATTGAAGATCTTTTTTGGCTGCTCAGTGGCTCAGCAAGTAGAACTGCTGCCTTGCATCAAGAAGATTACAGCTTTGATTCCCAGCCCGGGGTCTTTCTGCATGTAGTTTGCATGTTTC